ACCAACGTAAACGCCGTTAATTTCATGATTTTGCCTTATGACAACTTGAAAACGATAACGGGTTTTTAAGAAATTCATCTTCTCCGATGAGACTAATAAATATAACAAAACTGTCATTTGTGTTGCGAAAAAAATCCACAAATTATTCATGAGAAACCATTATATTTACCTAAAGTGACAATTTATTGTGGTGTTCGGTCTGGTGGAATCATCGGTTCGTACTTCTTTTGAAATGAAGCTGGTGACACCGTTAATCTCAATGGAGAGCGGTATAGATCGATGATAACCAACTTTTTGTGGCCGCAACTGGATTAAGTTGATTTTGACAACATCTGGTTTCAACAAGACGTACAGCACGTGCAACAACCGAATTATTGCGAGAGAAATTTGGAGACTCGATAATTTAAAGAAATTGTGACATTGAATGGTCTCCAAGAAGTTAAGATTTAACAGCATTACACTACTTCTTCTGGGGTTATTTAAAACACACGAGTTGATTTAGTGAAAAAAAGTACACGAAAATTGGGTACATCGAGTTCGTTCCTGCAAAAGAAGTAGTGGAAGCCATTTGTATGATGTTATATTCAGAACTTAATTGTATCGATTGTACTTCACATTAAAAAAAAACCATTTGAATTTTCTTAACAATAAGTGTATTTTGTTTTTTGGAAAAACAAACATATCACTCTTATTGGAAAACCCTTATATATACATTATTTATATATAGTCGAAATCCAACTAAGCGCTCTAAACTTTCTGTGAAGATTACAACACTTGAGCGAGTACTTAGCTGTAACTAGTCCAAAGTCCGTCAAAAATGTGACGTACTTATTCTAAAAGACACGCATTAGAAAGCTTTGCCAACACCTGAAAGTATTGCCCTTGCTGTAAGTCCTGCAAATTATAAAATGTTCAGTTACAACCGAACTTAGCTTTTCCTTACTTGTTCTAGACATGTTTTTGTTATAGTAATAGAAGTTGTAGTACAACTTTTCCAAAAAAACAGATATATATATATATACTTATATATGTGTATATGCATATATATGTATATGAATATATAAGAATATATTCCAATCAAAACACAAACTATTGCAATTTATTTTATTTTTGTATTTACGCATTAATGTTTACCTTTCAAATCAGAAATGTGTAAATATGTGCATATAGATAATGCTCAGGGCTATGGTATGCCTACAAATACAAGAAAATAAAACGTCCCTTCACAAATTTACAAAATAAAATAATATTTCTGCACCAAATAAGCGTCCAACCGAGAAAGAGAACTCTCTTAAATTCGTATAAAATTTCGTTTCATTTACATGGATGAATTAAAAAAATACGTTATCACAACATTTTAGGTTTGATTATATTAAAGTCTAGTTTTTGTTATAAATATTATTTTCATGTAGAATTTAATTAAAAGTGACTCAACTAAATGCAATTCCGCTCATGCATAAATAGATATTATTTCCAGCGCTTTAATACACATTTGGAATAACTTTTAACATACTTCAAATAAATTTCAACATACTTCTAACAAAGCTGCTAAAAGCGTATTTATTTGCATTTTTCATTAATTTCATTATTAATTAAATAAATTGTGAAAAGCGTGTGTAAAAAATATTACTTTTCTATTGTGCATGTGTGTGTATGTAAAAAGGAATTAATAATTACAAGCAATCATAGTTCTATGTCGGATGTTGAAGGAAAAGCATTTGTGAATTATTATATTATTGTCGATATTTTAACATAAGTTTAATTTTTTAGTCAGGTTCAGTTTTTTTTTAGTACTTCTAAATATATACAGATATTCATGAAAGGATTTTGTAGATTATGTTTTATAGATGTAAAACGTAGTTAATATGGTTCATTATTAGAAAGATAACTTATGATCTGACACTCCACCTCAGCGACAAATTACTAAAATTTTTAAGCTTTAGTCATCAATTTTTTAAGTAGTTTACAGTTCTTCTTCCAATAAAGATCATAAGTGGCTACAGTCAGCCGAAGTTTCTCTAGTTTATCAATGGATTTCGTTAACATTGCGAAAGTTTGGGTTTCTAATGTAATGTAAATTGTGTAAATAGAGCGCGTATTCTGCATTGATTACGTGAAACTTATTTAGAACTTGACAACCGATTGATTTCTTGATCAATTTAGAGATCTTGGAAGAGCTAAGAACATATATAAAAGAAATGATATTCCTTGATATTATTGTGTTATTAACGTGATAGCTTTGTAAGTATTCGAAGATAATTCGATATAAAAACTTCTTCACTTATAAGTAAAAACTAAAGCAATAATTTTATATTGAAAACATTTTCTTTAATGCTTTGCTATAGATTGTTATTGATTTCCTTTCTGTATGCAAGATATCAAAATGTATTTGCTTAACTTAGTGAATTTCAAATAGTAGTCAGTCTTATGTCTTCTGCCTTATATATTTGCGATGATTGGTTGATTTTAACTTCGATTATTCTCCAAACCAATATTGATTTATTGACGATAGAATATCATAAATTTCATTTTGAATCTGCTTAGCATTGCTCACACAGAGGTTAAGACTACACAGAGCACCCTTTTTTCTCCTCCAATTATTCGAATTACTAAACTTTTGAGCTAGATTAACTCACTCTACCATCTACAATTTTTTGACTTTTCATAACTATTCCCGTCATTTTCACAATACTGTACTTAATAAACCAAAGTCGATAAAATAAACAAATAAACTTCAATGATATTGTCCTTGACTTTTTCGCTTTCTCTTTATTACGATTATATGAGCTGTAAACTATTGACGTTAATTGGATAATCAGCCGAAATTAATATGTGCGTTAATAATCGCCATAATTTTTTATATTTACAGCAGAGTTATCTTATTTGCATCTACCTGCCTGCTCCATGGATATAACCTAAAAATAAAAAAATCTCATTAAACTAGAAGATATTTCTCAGGCAGAAAAGAATTTTATGATGATCGGATCATTTATTTTCAAATTATCACTGCAGCAAATTCGAAAAATGTTGTTTGGTAAAAAACGCGTTTAAAAGTATACTGGTATACCGGATTTAACTGAGCAGCTACCCTTTAAACAGCTGTAATTCCAAAACTAATTGAGATATCAATTTGAAATTTCAGTATGTTATTTATAAAGGTATAAACTATCGAAAAGGTGTAACTATAAAAATATGAAAAATAATAATTTTTTTTAGAATTTTACGTTAGGTGTGCTTCATAAACATCCAAAGAAGTCAAAGGATTTAAAGTTTTTCGCTCATGATAGCCTAAACTCGAGTTAAATATTAAACATGAGTTTAATAGCAAACTCGAGTGTAATATAAAAACATATTATAATGCTGCGAACTACGGAAACCAGAGCACAGCAAATACATAGACATATCAACTGATATTTAATCATAACCCTTCGCACAGTGTGAGTGCATCAATCAGTTCATTAAATTAATTAAAAGCAAATATTTACTATTATAATAAAGCCATGTATAGCCACATACTTTTGTATACATACATAATTACCAGTTAGGAGCTTTCGTATCCCTGTGGGCAAAGTCGGAGCAGTTATGCAAATACCTAGGATTACATTTACCTCATTTACATACATTTACACAATATAAATTACTAAATGCATATTTACTTTTTACTCTCAACTCCATCAAGTTCAAGAAGCTAGCTTTCTAGACTACAATATCTTCACAGCCAGTTCAAAACAGTTATAAAAATGCTATTATTTGTTTCTTATACTACTTTCAGTTAATTTGGAATTTTGACATCTAATTAGTTAAGTTTGCACGACAGGTGTAAGTAAAGATGCTTTTTAACTTTATTAATATACTTATTATATAATATTTATTTTTAATGCTAATCTAGTCATATTCTAACAGGAAAAGACGATAGGGGCTTTAAAGTCAACAAATAAGATGTCAATACGGGTTTGTTTATAACTTTATAGCCACGTTTATAAAGTCATATCAAGATGATATCTCTCGTGCACTTTTAAACAATACACCTGCTGCTATTCTGCATTCGTTATTCAAACGACACTAGAAACCTTTTTGTTCCTTAGTCGCGATCTTTAAAATGTTTTTTTTTTTGGTTATGGGTCTGGTAGTTTGTTATACTACAGTTGTCCATATAGGCATACACCACTTTCATATAATAATACATCACTTACAGCTTTTTTCAACTTTATTTAAACCTCATTAAAAGCAAACTTATTTTTCATGGCTTTAAATCCTATAAAAATCTACTAAAACTTTGCTTGTTTTATTTTATCCTTTCCACTTAAAGTAAACCGCCTTTGTAAGCACTAAAAGACGAAATAAATGTGAACACATAAATCAAATAAGTAACTAATAAAAAGTAAGAAGAGAAGAAAAGGACAAACCACTGTTTCTGCTAATAAAGGAAGGCACTTATTTAATGTGTGAAAAAAGAAATTGAGAGACGGCGCTGACAGCATGTGGTGCCGCCACAATACATAAAGAGACGGACCGATAATTACCAGTCTGTACAATAAAAACAAATGGAACAGAATAAAACGTTTGCAGGGACGACAGGCGGGCAGTCAAATAGCGAAAACGGAAATAAATCGTAAGCTAAATCATAATTAATTTTACGCGCATCCGAAACTACCGCGTACAACCACTCTCACCCCTAAATGGGAAGTAATAAATTCAAGAAATAATGAAAAAGTGTTAAACACAAATTAAGAAACATAAATTGAAAGCGCGGTAAGAGTTTAATGAAATCTTTTGAGAGTTTCTATTAGATTTCAGAGACGTTTACTGAGAAATAATGCTTTTGCTTTTGTTTTTGTAGTGTGAGCATCATTAAGTGTAGTATGAAATGTTGGAATTTATAAACAGCTTTTAATTTACCATTCTTTAATCAATCAACGAGTTTTTAAAATAAAATCACACTTCGGACGCTTTCGCATAATATTAACGATAACCTCGGTTTCATTTATCTTCACTTGCAGCAAGAAAATCAAATAATTTATTAAAAAGTCATCAGAATCAGGAGTTTTTCTTAATTAATCCAACAGCCACGTTTAACGAACGCTTTATAAAAACAAATAAGCTCAGCCAACATGCATATAGTTTACACAGTTAAAACAAATGATAACAGTAATTTCTGCTGTTGGTCGTCCTAGCAACCGCAGCAGTTGTCGTCGTCGACGACATTCATAATGGCCTGATTAGCTTGGGCGGCGCTGGTGTGGGCAAAAGCTCCATCATCAAACGTTTCCTCTTCGTCTATGTAGGTCACAGACAAATATCATGCTACGGTTGAGGATCTCCTTAATAGCGAATAAGATCTGGGCGGGATTACACTGAAGGTGAGTAGCATTTGAAGAATAAAATAATTTACTATCTATAAAATAATAATAGAAACAATTTTGAAGTACCAACAATTATGGTAAGATCCGACCTAACATTTCTATGATTAAAAAAATGCTCGAAAATAATCAATAAAAATCTTCTTTCCAAAATACTACGTTTTTTCCAAATCGGCTTAATGAGTAACCACTTTACTAACATAATTCTGCACTTAACATAAAAACCCGTTAATTCGTCTGTTTCGAGAATCTGGGTTCATATTGTAAGCAAAGTTTCAGATATAAATTGCTAATAGTGATTACGAATTCATCTGAGCTATTCACCATAAATATTAAATTTATGTAAATTCGATATACCATAACTCTTTAATTAAACCAAAGCCTTTAATGATCATTCAGCAATCATCCATTATAATACGATGAGTTTAATTAATATTTTCTTTTATAGGAACCTCTATTTGGTTAAATCAAACTATTCACTATCTGCGATAAATATTCTGCGGATGAGTTATGTCAAAAAGCCATGATATTGATTGGTCAATATATGTCTAGGTCTGACTTCTTCTGTGGTCTTTTTGTGGAGTTATTTGAGTTCACCTCGATTGCTTTGCACAGTATGAATATCAAATGCAAATGTCGTCGATCAGTGTTGATTTGACGAACGAAATTTACCCACCGTCTTTCTTCTGTAATGAGTTTTCTTGTTTCTTTTAGTTTGTTCGAAATCCTGGTAAATTTTAATGTCTCTATCACAAGGCAACCAAACTATAGCAAATTTTAGTCTTAACATCTTCATTCTTGGCGAACTTAGTGAACTCATTTCAGAAATTCTTCCTCATTAAGTTGCTTCGTTCGATTGTTGACGCACCCTCTGTCACCCTTACTTTAATTCTCTGGAATGCTCGTTCACCTGATACTTTCTAGATTACTATACTATACGTAAAAGTAAGGTACATAAAACGTAGCTTCTGTCGGGCGGGTGAAGCTTGACCAGAAGGTACTTCCAATTTTTTATTTCCAACTAATTCTGAAAGACACAAATAAAAGGTAAACATTACTTTTTTCTAGAACTTCAAGCTAAAATCTTCATCCATATTGATATTTGAACCTGAAAAAATGAGTACTTTAAAATTTCAAATTCCTAGCTGCTTTATACTGCCTCTAAGAATTAAAACCTCTCTACGAGAGATGACCATACATATCGGTAGCAGTAGGCCGTGTGAGATTTAATTCACAAACTCATGTCCTTAATTATCATTTACTAGTTATCTTCTTGTGAGCGTAATTTCGAGGAATGTTGGTAGTGATTGTCCGGATATAAATCCGGTTTTAATCTTATTAATTATAACCGACTGTCGTGAGAGAACAGGTTAAGTTTTGTTCAATAATATGGGTTGAATTTGTATATCTCTTCAACCCTCCTCAACGAACAAACAGTTTTGTATAAGCATACAGGTAATAACTGGTATGTTGTGACGTCAACGTCTCAAAATAGTACTTACTGCTTGATAAGCTGAGTTCAAAGTTCAGAGTAAGTAGAAATTGAGTAGTTGAGTGCTTTGAAGATTTTACTGATTCGAATTTTATTGGAAACCTTCCCGGTCAGAGACATTATTCGTTAGCTCTTCATCTGATGAGAGAGTTCAACCAACAGTTCTGAATTTTCGAAATTTGACCTTCAAAATATTGTAACTAATTGCAATTTTGGCCTTCTGACATTCTGACGGTTACTATCTCATCAGTGTTTAATGAAAGCGGAAAGCTTTCATTCCACAACAATAATATTAAAATTGAGAAAAGGCTGCAGCCGGTGTCAATGGTAGCCTTGGATATGAGAGACAATCTGCTTCGTAAAATATTCCTCTATTTCTACGACTTTATTGCCGGGCTGTTGCAGTTTGCTGAAATATCTAAGTTACTTAATTTCTTAACATGCAGCAGTTGTCTTTGACTTAGTATATGTATATATATTTTTCTTGTGTTTATGTGTGTTTCTGTGTATCAGGTTTTACAAGCAGAAAATCGTTAAACCATCAAAGATATGCTCCCTAGCAAACTAGAGCAGCAACGCATGTTGTTTAATTGAATTTCTCGCCGATTTGTTGTTGCTGTTGTTTCTTTTATATTTTTGTTTTTGTATTGAAAGCCTTTGTCTGGTATGCTTTCATAGGGAGCAGGCTACGGCAATGCACATCTAATGTTTCAACTGTTCACCATAGTGGCAACAGGAGTACTTATATAATGACGTTACTAACACAAATTAAAGCCGTACTCATACATTTTTTTATATAGACATTTACCTTACTATATTAAAGCTTGTCTCGCCACGTTGGGCTCTGCCGGAAAATCATAGTGGCACACAAACACACATTCTCTTGGAGGACAATTATCTACAAAACTTTGTCTGCAAACATCTTTAATATGACACGCTCGACACGGTATATTTATACAGCACAAAGACCTGCACACATTCACACTCGGATTTGCCGTTAGTTGACAAAGTTTTCTTGTAGATGTTGCCACCACTCGTCAACCCAAACCTGCCGTTACACATGTTGCAGGCGCATATAAGTATATATTTAGTAGAATATACATTAGGGTGTTTCATTTTTATATCATATTTTTCTTTGTGCTACCTGAAAGTCTGATACTTTAAAAAAAAATTAAAACATATATGCTGCCGGTTAAGTGATTCTAAGTGCAATAGCGGCTTATCTTATTATAAACTTCGATTCCTACTATATAAAAAACACAGGAAATAATTTTTTCGGCGTCACTTCGATTTTCCGACGTAAAATTATTTGTGAAAAAACCGTATATAATTTTTAAAGGGCATAAAATTTACTACACGAAGTTTTTCTGCCCACAAGACCAAAAGTTTTTAAGTTATAAAGCTTATGAAAAAAAGTCAGAAATTTAAGCAAAGTCAACAGCCCCAAAGCCTTCACTAATGCTGTTTCTTCACACTTCCTCGAGAATTTAAAGTTACCGGTTTAAAGTTAGCTTACTAAACTCTCGAAGGAAATGGATTTTAAAGAGGAGTTTTTCATATTATCAATACAAGTTTTGATTGTTCTAGTCCCAAGTTCTTCGCTATAGGAAACTTCTTAAAAATATGGATATAAAAAATCGTAATCATAAACTTAAAGACTTAGCTATCTCTGAACACGTCAGTCTAAATAGTTCCCTATTCAAAATAGACCAGAAAGTCGAGTCTAAAGAAATGATTAGTCGCAACATCACGCTATTCCTTGGTTCATATTCTAAACTTGACTAGCCAGTTAAAGTTGAAAATTGGGAGCCCAAAGCCAGAACCTAAGAGGATATTAGGAATACTCAGAAAGAAATTGAGGTATGAAGAGCGGCAATCTTCATAGTAGCGCTGCAGTTATTGGGCTATTAATTGATAGGTCTAAAAACATTCAGAGTAGGAATGTTTTATAAGTTGCTCAACATTTTAAAATTTTATTAAAACTCGAGCAGTGCCTTCGAGAAGGAATCGAGAGAAGAGAAACTTGAAATATAAGGCAATAATGATCCAGTACGCCAGTCTACATAGTACTGATTTCAAGATAGGTCGGAATATAATAAGCTTTTCATAGACTGTAATCTATTACAAACGTGAGTCCACAAACTGTTGGTTTAATTTTGTGATTCAGGAGAGTTTTGTTAAATTTGTTTGTTTGAATTGTCGAACTCGCCTAGGTTCCGGAGTTAGAAATATGAGAGAAAGAAGTTCTATGAAATAATAGAAATATAGGAAATAATTTTTAAAGAATTTAAGAATAGTATGACTAAGATCGGCGCTATTCAATATCAATATGAAAATTATGAGTCTAGCTGTTTCTGTTTACGTGGGCTCCGATATGAGGGGCAAACCCATTGAAATTCTTGCCCATCTTCTCAGCACGCTATTTATTTAGTTCCAGAGTTGAATTGGACCAAATTATGATATAACGTTGTATGAGAGCCACTTAATTTATACGCTTTTATTATTTTAAATTGGAATTATGGTACAGGAAAATTTCCAAAGCTAAATTTTATACGTACAACAATATCTATTAATAACTAATGTAAGTGAATTTATATATCTACCATATACCTGGGATATAGTAGTATAATTAAGGATGTTCCAAAAAAAAATTATTTTATTTAAAATCATTACTTTAATTACGTTTCCGTGGATTGTTTAGTATTAAAACATTACTAATGCTAGCAATAGAAAAAGAGGTATAAAAACAGATAAAGATAAAAATATAATACAATTCTAAAGAGTGATTAAATTAAAAGAGAATGGCTCATCCGAATGGTTCAACTTGACGAGCTACAATATTAATAGTTGAAATTGGTATAAAGTAAATCTTATTTGTTATACCAGAAACTTTCTAAAACAGCTACATTAGAATGACATCTACCCTTTCTTTCTATGTCCATAATTAATCGCTATGACGGACTGAACACCTCTAAAGCTTAGGCGTGGATGCTCATACATACATTTCTGTTTCTGAATTTTCGGTCAAAGGCTCCGAAGAGATGTACGTCATTATTACCGAATACTGACAATACGTCAAAGACAGAGACCTCTGCCGTAGCTGAGGTATTGGTACTGATATAATCCTTCACTTGCGACGTTGGAAACACAAATAGTTTTCTATCTGTAACATCCATCGCTAATGTATTCTTGACAGTATTCTCCCAGGGTAAGATAGTTGTGTTTATGATACTTTGTGCTCTGCTATGCTGGGCTGTATTGTGCCCTACTAGTTTATTTCGTCTTTAAGCTTATTTCAACGCTCCACTTCTACTGCTGCCACAGCAGCCGGCAACTCTTTACGGTTTGCTTTTCTGAAATGTCTGTAGTCATAGCCTTGTAAGCCTTTCCATTTCTTGGAAGCCGAGCTGTTTTAAATTTTAATCATCTGCATTTGCAACCATTTGTGGCATAATTGTTGCCATGGGAAACCGCTAGTGTGTAAACCAATTTTCAGGAGACTTTTCAA